CAACAAAAAAGAAATTGTTACAAATGTTTGATCCAACGTGGTCTAATTTGGCTCACTGAAAATACTATGATGAGAAAACAGAGTAACGGAGTATCATCTTTGCGAGATAACATTACATCTCAAGAGAGCTTCGTTTGCATCGCTTGTGTCTTCATTGTGGAGGAAGATGAGCCGATTTCGTATCTCCTTACGAATATGGTGCGGCCGCTCGTGACGACGCCCATTCCTAATCATACTGTCTTTGATGTTTAGGTGTTCTCCCAGGGAAGGTAGCAGTTGTCCAAATATGTGTAGACAACGATTATTGTGATGTTATGCACATTATTCATTCTGGTATCCCTCAAAGACTCAAACACCTTATTGAGGATTCAACACTCGTAAAGGTTTGTTATTTTTATTCAAGTGATCAGAGTTTTTATTTAGATATACGCTCAATTAACATAGTTTTGATACATTTTATAGGTAGGTATTGGAATTGACGGCGACTCTGGGAAGCTTTTCAGTGAAGCTTTGAGTATCCATCAAAGGTGTCGAGGATCTTTCAGGTTAAGCCAACCGTAAACTTGGTGGAGATTTCAAACAATGGGGTCTTGCCTCGCTAACTAAGACACTTGTTTGCAAAGAGGTATCCACTTTTCTTTTCTCTTGATAAACCGTGGGAGTTCCCAACTTTTGGAACATAATCTCCCCGGATATCCGAAGTCAGCGTTTAAATATTTTGATGTAAGGAATAACCATGTCTCCCATAGGGGGTTAGAAACCCGGACACAAAAGAACCAACATGTATCCATTATTCATCTCGTTTTGTTGATGTTTTTTTTTTATTATTTTCCACTCTCCCTATAACAGTGTAACATTAGTCATTTGTTTTGCTGCTTTGGAATCTTGGTTCTGTTTTTGATTTAAAAGCTGGACTGTTACTTTGCAGCTCTTGAAGCCGAAAAGCATCAGGCTCGGAAATTAGGAGGCCTATCCTCTTTCAAAGAAGCAGTTACAATACGCAGCAACCGATGCTTATGTTTCATGGCATCTTTACCAACACTACAAGAAAACTGGAAATTAGCGTCGAAATTTAGTCGACGCTAATATAGCGTCAAAATTGCGTCGAAGTTGTGTCAGTCTACATATTTGACGCTAATTCGACGCTAAGTAGGGTCGAATAAATTCGACGCTAAATCGACGCAAATTAGCATC